TGTGATGGCCGCCTTGATGTGTACGTTGAGGCATCTAGTCCCAGCAACTTGCGAGGGCTGACGTCCAAGACCGCTTTGGTACTTCAACTTTCCGTTTCTCTGTCAGTTACTTCGCCACATGCAACGTCGGCTCCACCAGGACTGCCCTGATGGAACGCAATAGAGATTCTAATCCTGTGGTCGCCGTGGACTGCAAGTTTAGTGCCACAGGAAATAGTGCCATCCACAGCATAGTGGCTGCTCACCAGATATTCGCCAACTCCCCTGAAGGTCCAACGGCTGATCGAAAATGGCTGTATGCTTTTCATTGTAGGTCTACAAAGGTGCACCGATTTACTTCACCTCTTCTTACGGAGCGGTGCGAATGCTGATATCCAGCGCTCTGTAGGCAGTCCTGGGTGTATGCTCGGAATTTTTCCTACTCCAGCGAGATTGCCGCACTCCGTCTCACGATACAGTCGTACTCACAAGTCTGACATCACGCTATACTGGACTGCACTGGGCCGCCCAGACGCTGCGTGACTGGGGCTCTCAGGTTAACCTCGTCGAGGACATGGTGGGCTCCACAGTTCCCTTGTTCACTCGTCTTGGAGGCCCTCTTTCAGAATGGTCGCACCCCATTGGATCTCTCACTCCATCTTCTGGGACCAAATGATCGTCTCAGCTTCGCGTTAGGAGGTATGCAAGGAGCTCGGCATTCTGCCAGGGTTATTGCCACGACACAGGTTGCAGCAACACCAGCTTCCCGTCGAGGCCGGACATCTCCTCTGACTCTTCGTTCGCCCAGAGACTCTGTCAGCCGTGCCCACCTGGTAAGTCCAACACGGTCAAGCCTCCTCACGTGGTGGTCTGTTGATAGATAGATTGGAATTGGGCGTGTGTAGTTATCATTACTCCTCAGGCACAGCTGGTATGGGAGGAAGATGCAGGCCTTGCGTCCTCGAGGGGGAGGCGGCAAGCCATGGTATGGTGCATGCGGTCCCAGTCGTTATCTAAACGCGGCTTTTCAGATCGAACCGAGTGTGTTGTATGTGACGCCACCAGAGGGCTGATGCCCAATGACGATCGTAGCCGGTGTGTCAAACGTCCCCTACCATCTTGGGTAGCCTCAGGCCCCCGGATGCACTGTTCATCAGGCTGCTGTCCTCTCTCAGGCGATCTGCCTCATAGGGGTATTTTCATCCTTGGCTGTGGTCATCGCCGTCTTGATCTCAGTTCGTAAGTGGCTAAGGAGTTACTGCCTCGTTCGAGGGATCAACCACAGCGAGTGGGTTCCTTCCAACAGTTTGAATGCCTTCACTACATGCTGTGCTATCAGACCATGGAGAGTTAGGGTCTATGCCGCACTAGGAGGGAAGATGGAGACTGTCACCGGAAGTGAAGTTGCCAAGTTCAACTACTCACGAATTATCAAGGCAGGGAACTACGACTCTCTCACTCTGATCACTCAGTGAGGCACCCAAGAGATATGCAAGGGCAATCGTATCTCCGTTATTGACTAGGACATGGCACGTTGATCCGAATAGAGTGAGTACCGACACTGGAGAGCTGCCGCTAACTACAGCTCTGCGTGCGAGGCAGCCGGGCAT